TGTGCATCCATCCTGTTTGTGTTCACCCATCCTGAGCTTACTCATTCCAGTCCCTGTCCATCTACCTCACACCCACCCATTCCACATGTGCATCCATTCGTGTCCATCATCCATCCATCATCCATCCATCCATCTGCTCATTCCTTGGTCACCCATCACGTCTATGTGCACCCACCCTGTGTGCATCCATCCACCCATCCGTGCCCATCCATCCATCCATCCATCCGTGCCCATCCATCCACCCATCCATCCACCCATCCGTGCCCATCCATCCACCCATCCGTGCCCACCCATCCACCCATCCATGCCCATCCATCCACCCATCCGTGCCCATCCATTCACCCATCCATGCCTATCCATCCACCCATCCGTGCCCATCCATCCACCCATCCGTGCCCATCCATCCACCCATCCATGCCCATCCATCCATGCCCATCCATGCCCATCCATCCACCCATCCGTGCCCATCCATCCATCCATGCCCATCCATCCACCCATCCATGCCCATCCATCCACCCATCCGTGCCCATCCATCCATCCATGCCCATCCATCCACCCATCCGTGCCCATCCATCCACCCATCCGTGCCCATCCATCCATGCCCATCCATCCACCCATCCATGCCCATCCATCCATCCATCCGTGCCCATCCATCCATGCCCATCCATCCACCCATCCGTGCCCATCCATCCATCCATCCATCCGTGCCCATCCATCCATGCCCACCCATCCCTTGTCTATTCACCCTACGCTCCCTGGATGTTGGTGGGGTCTCACATTCTCCATCCCAGCTTCTCCAGGAGGTGCACCAGAATGGAGATGGGATACCCTGTGCACACCCACCCTGTGTCCATCCACCCCAGGCTCTGCAGGAGTTACCCAGGATGGAGATCGGGTCCATCCATCCCTCCATCCATCCCCTACCCTGCAGGAGGGGTCTGGGATGGGGCCAGGGCACCACACCCGAGTCCAGACCAGGGGAGGACACTGTGAATGGCGCAGCTCATGACACCCACTGACCCCAAGCGCTCCTGGACAGTGCTGGGATGTGGGGGCGGCCCCACATTCCGCACTCCCCCACCCTTCAGGTGCATCCCTGTGCTCCGGGACCGGAGCAGACCTGGCCCGGCTGGCGGCTTGGGGACAGGATGCTTGGGGACAGGATGCTGGGCCTGGGAGGGTCTCCAGCCCCGCAGCTCCGTCTCCTTTAAGAGCGCCGAATTCCGCCGCCTGTCCCCGCTGGCGTCCGGCCAGGGCTCGGCCTCGGCCGCGGCCAGATCCCGCTCCAGCGGGGACAACCGCCCGGGGCCCCGGGGACACCCCGCTGGCACCACTGGGTGCTGGTCCCTTGGGTCACTGCTGGCTCTGTCCCGTGGGGGTGAAGCCACACAGAGCCAGAAGGTGGGGACAGTCAGAGATGTCCCACGAAGTCTCAGGACCTGTCATACCAAGTTGTCATGTAGCAAAGAGATGTATCCCTGCGCCCTGTCACCTCCCTCTGCCACCTCCGTGTCACTGCTGGGGACCAGGACAGGGGAGATGGATCCCACTGCCCTGAGGGAATTGTGACCCGGGGCTGACAAAGGGACAGTCTGGGGACAGGGGCCATGGGGACGGGGGACAGAACAGCCCCAGGAGACAGGACAGCCTCCACGCGGGACAGGGGACAGGAGAGCCAATGTCCAGGGGACAGGACAGCCAGCAGCAGGGGACAGCAGTGACCACGGCCTGGGTCCCAGGAGCACTGGGACAGCCAGTGCTGGGGACACTGCGTAACGCAGGGTCCTTCTCCCAGTTCCTCCCTCCTCCTCTCCCTTGCTGGCAATGGTTTCACCGCCTGGGCTGTCCCTGTGCTGTCACCCACGGCTGAGCTGAGCCCTGTCCCCATTCCCAGGAGCAGGAGCCCAGCGAGCACTGGTGGCACTGGTGGCACTGGTGGCACTGGTGGCACTGGTGTGAGGAGCTGTGGGTGCTCTGGGGCCGGTTCGAATTTGGGTGTTAATTGACTCCCGCGGCGGTGGCAGCTGTGAAAACAGAGCGGGGCTCATTAGGGGACATCAAAGGGGACACGGCCGACCCGCTGGCATTTGCTCCCTCTTCACTCAGCTTAAAAGGGCAAGAGGAGGATGGGAGTCACCGGCCTGGGGACAGCCGTGCTCAGCCAGGAGGTCCCTGTCCCCATCCCTGGGATTAGTGGCAGCTGGGGGCACACATTTTTTGGGTGACATTCCTGAGGTTACTCGGACATGGGGTGACCCATCTCTGGGGTGAACTGGATTTGTGGTGATCTCTCCTCAGAGATCAATCACCTGTTTCTGGGGTGACCCATCCTTAGGGTCACCCATCCTCCAGGGTGACCTGTACCAGGGTTGGTTGTCCCTAAGGTGACCCATTCCCACTGAGATCCATCTTTGGGGTGTCCCTGGTGTTTCCCAGGGTGTCCCATCCCTGGGGTGACTGAGCAGGGGACAGAGGGGACATGGACTGACTGCTGCTTGCAGACACCCTCCAGCTCCTCCTGCTCAGGCTGCAAACAGCCCTGAGAGACAAAACCTCCAAAACCCCCCTAAAAATTACTTAGAAAGCGCACAGATCTGGCCCAGTTCCTCCTATTCCTGCCCCATCACAGGAGCCTGTGGGGCCAGGGAGGGGGGCCAGGGACCCCCAGTGGGTCCCAGAACCCCCAGGTCCCTTGGCACCCCCGGATCCCAGATCCCAGCTGGTTTTCCAAAGCCAGGACATGAAGCCTTTTAAAAAAATCTCCTCTCCGAGCTCCTGCATTCCTGGGTGGAGAGTTTACATTCCCCATCCCCGTGATCTGCGCTTCGCCTCCGGAAAACAAAGCAGCCTTGGGGGGGGAGCTGCTTTTTGGGGAGCAGGACCCTCCAGCCAGAGCCAGGACCCCCAGGGCAGCGCCCCAAAATGAAGCACCAAGAGCCAGGGCTGGACACGGCCCGGGACCCCCCTGGCAAGGGGGACCCCCTGAAGGGGCACCCTTGGGGCGGGAGTTGAGGGGTGCAGGGGGGGTCCCCTGCCCATGCCACCACCAGAGCAGACTGCAGGAACCACTCTGCCCGAATTCCCACTTCCAGAGGCTCCCAAGGCAGGGGCTGGGGTAACAGGGGATGCTGGGGTGTCCTGGGGGGGTGCCGTGTGTGCCAAGGGGGTGCTGGGGGGGTCCCGACCAGCCCAGCCCGACCCCCAAACTGCTTCTGCAAAGCGCAGAGGAGGGGGAAAAGAAGCCCTGGATAAGTTTCTCCCCCTCTTCTCTCCCCCTTCCAAGTCATCGCTGGAAAATTAAACCGGATCCAAAGAGTTTTTCCTTTCCAAAATGTGCTGGAGAGGCACTGCCTTAACCCCTTCAGCTCCCGGCTCGCCCTCATCGCGGGACTGAGATTTTTAAGGGGGTTTGGGGATTTTCCCGGGCTTTGCTGGGGGAAGGGGAACGGCGCAATGCCCCGGCAATCCTTCTTTGTGCTCCAGGGATCCCCAAATCCCCTGGAAGGAGGGCGACAAGAAACGCTGAGGCTCCCCAGGGCCGGTTTTGGGGCACCCCTGGGGCCAGCGCTTCGTGGCCAGGTCTCCCTCTCCATTTTGGGAAGAGTATTTTTTTTCTTTTTCTTTCCAATTAAATCCAGCTGATTAAATCAATCCTCCCAGCCCCAACTCCCTGCCCTGAGTTGTCCCCCTCCAGCTGAAACTCTCCTGCATCCCTCCTCCAACATCCCCCAAATCCCAACAGATCGAACTGCAGCCAGGACCCGCTTCTCTCCAGAGCCTCGGATCGGGGGCCCACCCCAGCCAAACCCCTAATCCCAGAGAAAATGTGAGCTATTTCCTCCCGGGGGGAGCACAGAACAGGCCCCCCCTCCCACTGCACACCGAAAATTCCTCATTTTTTGGGTTAAAAATCTCTTTTTTCCCCCTCTCAAAGTGCTTTGTTCCAGCTGGAGGGAGGCACTGGCTCATCCCCACGGGGCGGTGGAAGTGGGGGGTACAGTAGAATCCATGGGAACCCCACAATTTAATTATTGGGGTTTTTTTTGGGGAAAAAAAAAAAGCCCTCGGGAATAATCTGGTATTTTTTTGACTCGTTTGTATTTGTGAAGGATTGTTCAAAAAGGGATTTGGGAGGAAAAGTCATCAGCCAAGTAGGGGGGCCCAGGGAGAGCCCCCAGAGGCAGCAGCCCCAGCCCAGGGTCTCGTGGGAGCAAAGGGGTGGGGAAGAAAAAAAATCCACTTTCTTGGGGAGTTTCGAAAGGAGAGCAAGAAAAATGGGCTTGTTATTGGGGTTTTTTGCCTTTTTTCACCCTTTTTTCCAGGGGCCAGTGAAGCAGCAGTGGGAGGGAGCCGGGACAGAGAGGAAAAGGGGGAGCAGGGGGCTGAGGGTCCTCTCCCAGGCTTGGCAGTGTTTTTCCCCTTTTTCTCCTCTTATTTCTCCCTTTTCCCACCTCTTTCTCTTTTTTCCTGATCCTTTTTCTCACCTCGTTTTTTATCTCCTTTTCATCTTTTCCCCTCCTTTTTCATCTTTTTTTTCTCTCCTTCTCCTATTTTTTCTCCGTCCTTTTTTTTTCTCCCGTTTCTCATTTTTCTTCCCTGTTCTCCTTTTTTCCACCCTTTTCTGTTTTTATCCCTTTTCTCCTGTTTTCCTCCCCTTTCTGAAACCTTTTTCCCACCTTTTCTGTTTTTCTCCCTTTTCTCCTGTTTTCCTCAAATTTCTGACACTTTTTCTTCCTGTCTCCCTTTTTCTCTCATTTTCCCTTTTTTCCTCACTTTTCTCCTTTTTTCACCCTTTGCTGCTCATTTTTCCCTCATCTCCTCTTTTTTCCTTCCTTTTTTCTTTCCCTTCCTCCTTTTTTCCTCCCTTTTCTACTGTTTTTTCCCTTTTCATCCTTTTTCCTCCCCTCTTCTCCCTTTGTTTTTCTCCTGTTTCTCCCTCCCTCTCCTCCTATTTTCTCCCTCTCTTTTTCCACATTTTAAAATAGAAATATATGCTTAAATTTACAAATGCTATTTACAGGTTTAATTACAAAAAAAAAAAAAAATTCAAAGAGAGAGAGAGAGATACCCCTTAGACGTTAATAAATCTAAAAATAAAAAATATATAATAACTCCTCCCCCCCACCCCCAAAAAAATATTTCAGGCCGAAGGGCGGCGGGGCCGGGGGGTCACACCGTGGTCTCGCCCTGCTTGCTGTTGGTGAGCCGAGTGTAGAACTTCCTCCAGGAGTGGAGGGTTTTGCCCGACCATATCCAGAACCCGGAGGTGATGCCCACGATCAGAGTCATGAGATACTTGATCATGTAGACGGTGAAGTCAGGGGTCATGCGGGGGGTGAAGTGCAGCGGGCAGGGGATGGCCAAGCTCTTGCAGTTCTGGCTGATCCAGCTGCGCTCCCAGTGCTCGCGGAACGCCTGCTCGTAGAAGTAACAAGCGATGACGATGGTGGCCGGGACGGTGTAGAGGACGCTGAAGACCCCGATGCGAACCATCAGCCGCTCCAGCTTCTCCGTCTTGGTGCCGCCGTGTTTCATGATGGTGCGGATGCGGAACAGGGAGACGAAGCCGGCCAGGAGGAAGGAGGTGCCGATGAAGAGGTAGACGAAGAGCGGGGCCAGCACGAAGCCTCGCAGAGGGTCGATGTTGTTGAGGCCCACGAAGCAGACGCCGCTCAGCAGGTCCCCATCGATCTGCCCCATGGCCAGGATGGTGATGGTCTTGACCGCTGGCACTGCCCAGGCGGCCAAGTGGAAGTACTGGGAGTTGGCCTCAATGGCCTCGTGGCCCCACTTCATGCCAGCGGCCAGGAACCAGGTGAGGGAGAGGATGACCCACCAGATGGAGCTGGCCATGCTGAAGAAGTAGAGCATCATGAAGAGGATGGTGCAGCCCTCCTTTTTGGTGCCCTGCACCACGGTGCGGTAGCCGTCCTCCTGGAAGCGCTCGTTGCAGACCACCCTCTCCTCCAGCACGAAGCCGGCGATGTAGGCCACCGACACCATGGTGTAGCACCCTGAGAGGAAGATGATGGGTCGCTCGGGGTAGCGGAAGCGCTGCATGTCCACTAGGTAGGTGGTGACGGTGAAGAAGGTGGAGGCACAGCACAGGACAGACCAGATGAGGATCCAGATGCGGGCGAAGCGGATCTCGTCCTCGTTGAAGAACATGTGGCCGTCGGGACGGGTGGGCTCGCAGGGCGCCGCGCAGTCCTTCTCCCCCAGGAACTTGTAGTTGAGGTAGCTGGGCACCTTCAGCGCCCGGGGGCAGTGGAAGGGGTGGTCGAGGGTGGCATAGCGAGGGGCGCCGGGGGTGCCCTGGCCAGCCAGTGGCGTGGCACTGGTCAGCAGTGCTGGGGAGCTGCCGTCCTCTGAGTGGTTCTGCCCCACGCAGATCTGCTCGGCGCCGTGCCGGGGGAAGTTCTCACATCGCAACCGCTCCGGCCACTGGAAGCCGAATTTGTTCATGAGGGCTTCGCAGCCCTGGCGCGCCCGCTCGCAGATGGAGCGGCACGGCGGGATGGCCTGCTCCAGCACCGTGCACACCGGCGCGTACATGGAGCACAGGAAGAACTTCAGCTCCAGCGAGCACTGCACCTTCACCAGCGGGTAGAACTGGTGGACCTCCAGCCCCGCGTCCTCCTGGTTGGTGTGACCCAGCAGGTTGGGCATGATGGTCTGGTTGTAGGCGATGTCGGTGCAGAGCGGGATGGAGATGGGCTGGCAGAAGCCGTGGTCGGGGATGGAGATGCCCTTCTCGCCGTGCAGCTGGGCCCGGCTCGGCGCCGGCACGCTCAGCCACGCCAGCAGCCAGGCCAGGGCGGGCAGCAGGCCGGGGGGGCCCATGGTGCCCCGAGCCGTGCGCCCCGATTTACCGTGCCCAGTGCCGGTAAATCCTCCCGTCCGGGGCTGCCTGCACGACTCCCGGTGAGTGGATCCTCTCTGGTCCCGCCTGGATGACTCCGGGTGGCCCGATCTGCCGTGCCCGATGCTGACTCGGCGGCTCCCAAGGATCAGCTCTGCCGTGGCCGGTGCTGGCCGGACGATCCCCGGTGACTGGATACTCTCAGCTCCCGCCCGGACGGCTCCCGCTGCCCGCTGTCCGCCTACCCCGTGCCCGGCGGGACGGCTCCCGGTGTCTCGATCTACTGTGCGCGGCGGGACGGCTCTCGGTGCTCGGACGTGGCGCCCCCGCTGCTCCCGCTGCCCGAACTTGGCGCTCCTGCTGCTCCTGGAGCCGCGGGCGGGCGGTGGTGCCGGGAGGGGGGTGCCGGGACGGTAGCGGGGGGGTCCCGGGGCAGGGGAACGGAGCGGCCGCACCGGACGCTCCCGCCGCCTTTGTGAGGGGCAGCGCCGCGTCCCCGCGGGGCGGGGCCAGCGCCCCCCGCCCCGCCCGCTCCGCCAATCACATTCAAACGCTGCGGCGGCCACGCCCACCCCGCCCCGGCCTGGCCACGCCCCCGCCCCGGGGGTCACCGCCCCCCCCGTGAAGTTTTTCCGACCCGCGCGAACTCCCCCCGCGGGTGGGGTCGGACCGGGGCCGTGTGCCCCGTGTACCGTGTGCCCCGTCTGCCGTGTGCCCGTGTGCCCGTGTGCCCCGTGTGCCCGTGTGCCCATGTACCCGTGTGCCCGTGTGCCCCGTGTGCCCGTGTGCCCATGTACCCGTGTGCCCGTGTGCCCCGTGTGCCCGTGTGCCCATGTACCCGTGTGCCCGTGTGCCCCGTGTGCCCGTGTGCCCAGACTGCGCTGCGGCCTCTGCCCTCCCTGTCCCCTGTGTGCCCCGTGTCCCCTGTGCCCTGCTGCCCTGTGTGCCCCGGGTCCCCAGACCGCGCTGAGGCCTCTGCCGCCTGTATCCCTGTGCCCCGTGTCCCCTGTGCCCCGCGTGTCCCCTTGGCTCCCGCTCTGTGTGCCCCGGTGTCCCCTTGGCTCTGCTCTCTGTGCCCCCCATGTCCCCTTGGTCCCCGCTCTGTGTGCCCCCATGTCCCCTTGGCCCTGCTCTCTGTGCCCTGCTGTCCTGTGTGCCCCCCATGTCCCCTTGGTCCCCACTCTGTGTGTCCTGTGTGCCCCCCATGTCCCCTTGGTCCCCACTCTGTGTGTCCTGTGTGCCCCCCATGTCCCCTTGGTTCCCACTCTGTGTGTCCTGTGTGTCCCCCATGTCCCCTTGGCCCCGCTATGTGTGCCCTACTGTCCTGTGTCCCCTACTTCTCCGTCACGTCTCCTGACAACCACCGTGGTCACTGTACCTCTGTCATGTGGCTCTCCTGTGTCCCCCGTCCCTCCCATGTACCCTGTGCCCCCCAAGTGCTCTGCACCCCACCGTGTCCATTGCCCCCTGTGTCCCCTGCATCACCCCCTGTGTCCCCTAGCCTTGCCATGTCCTCTGCCCCCTCTGTCTCCTGTGTCCTCCTTGTGTCCTCTGCACTGCTCATGTCCCCTAAACCCCCACCTTGACCTGTGGGACTGCTCCCCCCAGCCTAAGACCCACATCCCCTCTGACATGCTGCAAGGGGTCCCCCACTGTCCCCAGGCCCCACTTCAGGGTGCAGTGGAGCAGGCTTAAGTCCCGTGCCTCACTGGAGACCTCCAGAACAGGGTGTTTTCGCCCCAATATCCCTTGTCCCCAGGTGTCAGCCAGGCAGTGACGCCACCCCATGGGTTTCCCATGGCCACCCTGGAGTGCTGCACTTCCAAAAGGCCACTGCACAGACAGGAGTGTCCCAAAATCAGTGGGGAGTGGTAGGAAACATCCTGCACCCTGCCTCTCCCCACCCCTGTAACAATCTCACACATCCCACCCCAACTGGGGTTCTGCTGAAGGGAACCTCTGTCCCTAAAAACCGGGCACTGGGAGAGGCCAGTGGGGGGACTGGGACACACTGTGGGGAACTGGGACACACTGTGGGGAACTGGGAGGGGGGGACTGAAACACACCGGGGAAACACTGGAACACAGTGGGGAGGGACACTGGGACAGAGCAGGGGGAAGGATCCAGGACGTGCTGGGACCATCCAAGACACATTGAGAGTGTTGGGACACAAGGGGGTCAGGGGACACACCGGGGAGTCAAGCACACATTGAGGGGCACCAGCACACACTGGGAGAGACTGGCACCCACTGGAGTTCCCTTTTCCAGGGAATGAAACGGTAGTTGATCACCCCAAATTTCGGCACTAGAGTGGGAGGCTGCCTTCCCCCCCATCTTTCCCTGGGGAGGCAGTGGTGGGCAGCCCCTGCCCCTGTCCGCTCCGTTTTGGGGGGCTGGGGGATGAAGGGCAGCCAGGGGGGGCTGTGGTGGGGAGCCCCTGCCCCTGTCCGCTCCGTTTTGGGGGGCTGGGGGGTTTCTGGCAGCCCCTTTGCCTCCCTCCCTCCGCGTCCTCCCTCCCTTTCTCTCCCTTTCCTGTAACTTAAGCTTTTGTTGTGAGCAGGAGACCCGGGCTGTCGTGAAAAGAGGGGGCCCCACCGCCTTTCACAGCGTAATTGAAACCATTGCGGCTCCTGGCCGAGGGGGAAGGGCAGGGGGGGCTCCAAAATCAAAGCCTGGGGGAGAAAGACGGGACACACGATGCTGCCGCCCCCCCTCTCCGCCCGCCTCCCCGGCCCGGACGTGCCGGTGTCCCGGGGCTGGCGGGGGCTCCGGGGGTGCTGCGGGGCGGTGGGATGGGAGCCAGGGTCGGCTGTCCCCGATGGGGCACCCAGGGGTGCTCCCTTGAGCCCCGGTGTGGTCGGGGGGTGTCCGGTGGTCCCGGGCGGGAGGCGGCGGAGAGAGGCGGGGGCCGAGTCCGGAGGGCGGCCAGCGCTCCTCGGGCCCGTTCCCGTTCCCGCTCCCGTTCCCGTTCCCGCTCCCGTTCCCACTCCTGGCTGCTCCATCCGCAGCTCCTCTCGGCCCTGTGGCAGCAGGGTGTGGTTGGGTGACCCCCACCGTGTCCCCCAGGCCCACAGCCACAGGGACGGAGCGGTACAAGGGTTTCTGCACAGCCACGTGGATCTTGGCTTCCTAAACGCTTCAGATTTTGGATTCTTCCTGGAGATGGGGGGGTTTCACTTCCAGGAGGGGTTGCAGAGGCTGTCCCCGTGTTCCCTGTGCTTCTGGGTGCTGGTGGCTCAGGTCAAGGGTCCCCAGAGCCTCCAGGGACACACTGGGAGATGGTTCCACCCAGAAGTGGGTGCCAAGCCCTCCTGGAGAGGGCAAAAGCCAGAGCAGACCCACCAATCAGCCCTGTGAGGAACCCCTGGGCGGACTGGGGATGTCAGGGGACGCCCCAGGGAAGCAGCCAGTGGGGTCCTGCCTGCCAAGGGGTGTCCTCTCACAGGGACATTCAGGGTGGCCAGGGAATCCTGTTGCTATCCCTTGTCCCTGCCACCAGGCTCCAGCTGCATCCCAGGGGCATGAGGGGTGGTAGAAAGTGCTGCCTCCTCCCCAAAACTTCTCAGGAGGGTCTGGGGTTGTTGTCCTGGGTGGAGAGGACACTGTGAAGAAAAGGACCAACCCTTGCACCCAGTGGGAGAGGGTGGGTGCTACCCAGACTGGGCTTTACTGGGAGTATGGGGCCAAACCCAACTCTTCCCCCCAGCTCCGCTTCGTGTTCTCACAGAGCTGCTCAGGGTGAGGGGCACTCAGGAGTCCCAATTCTCCCACTTCTCCACTTTCACTTCATCCCAGTACAGCACTGGGGGATGCTGGTGGACACCCAGGGTTGCCAGTCCCCTGCTCCCAGCACCCAAGGGTCCCTCAGGGGGAGGCCCATGGGTACAGCCACCTCCAAAAGTCTGGTGGCTCCTGTGTCCCTTATGGAGCAGGATATGGTGCCCATGCACCCCCATTCCTGGGATTCCTCCAGCACCATGAGGTGCCAGGATGCCTGTGGCGTCCTCCCTTCACCCATCAAAGCCAGGGATGGAGGACAGCTGGGAACACTCAGCAGCACCCTAGCCCAGCCACAGGCTGGTGACCTCTTTCTAAGCCTCCTCCCTGGGGACAGGTATCCTGGGGGTGACACTGGGGGTGGCACCACACAGGCCCCATGCAGGGCTGGTGGCCAGCACCACTCTGAAGGGCAGAACTTCCAGGGGGCACTGGCAGCACCAGTTTGCAGTAAGTGTCCCTTAGGGATGGGTGCAGAGGGTGGCAAAGCAGAAGTGGGCAATGGAGGGGCTGTGGCAGGCGATGCCAGGCAGGATGGGGACCTCAGTGGTCCCCCAGGAGCGCAGAGGAAGGGAAGGGCCCCCGGCCCTGCCCTTGGCTTTGTTTCACACTTAAGAGCCTCTAATTAAAACCAGGCACAAAGGCCCTGGCTGGCGGCAGGCGTGAGGTGCCAGCAGAGAATGGGGGTCTGTCACCAAGGGAACAGGAGTGACACGAGGTCCTGGGCATGGGCCCCTGCACCCCTGGGCATGAGCGGGCACACGAGTGCCCATCCACACACACACACACACACACAGACGTGTGCTCCCTACCCTGTGGGACAGGGAAAGTACTGCTCAGGCCTGGTTTGGACTGGTCTGGTGGTGTCAGTGGCTCCGTGTGTGGGGCTGGGAGCAGAGATGAGCCCTGGGCTGCATGTAGGGTGAGCCAAGCCCAGGGGTGCCCCCGTCCTGGGGGAAGCCTGGTTGGCAGCAGGCACAGCTTTAGCCAAGGACCAGAGGGTCCCCAGCTGGGATCTGGGGGCTGGTGGGTGACCCCAAGACTGGTGTGATGAGCTGGGGGATGAGCCCCCCCACAATATGGGTCTGGCTGCCTGGATCCCTCGGGGTGGTGAGACCCCAAAGCCACGCTGTCCCCCACAGCCATCCCCAGTGCTGGCAGGGCACGAAGCCCACCGGGGCAGGCACGGGGAGAGTGGCTTAAGCACACCTTGACCTTGCTGGCGGGGGAGGATCCCCTCAGCTTGTCGGACACATCTCCTGCCAGCGCCGGCATTGAGAGCGCGCGGGCGGAGGAGCCAGCATGAAAAGGCAGCTTAGGCATCTCCTGCTGCGAGAGATGGATTAGGGGCTTCGGGGAGGCCGGGGACAGCCAGCACCACAGCCACCGTGCCATGACGGCCGCGTGCCGGCGGCCAGGCCGTGGGGCCAGGCTGGGCACAATGGGCACACAGCCACTGCCCCATAGCGCCGTCTCGCTGGGACCCCAAAATGGAGAAAAGTGTGTATGGAAAGCACCAAGGGCTGTCCCTGCAGGGAGGGGACACCCGGGGCTGGCAGCCCCGGCCCCGCTCTGGGCCCCCCTGGTCTGGCTGCAGCTGTCACTGTCAGGGCTCGGGTATTTTTAGAGCTGCCCTAGACCGC